AGTGTACGCGTTGAAGAAGTGCTCACCAGAGAGCACCAACTGGTTGGCCACACTGCTGGGAAGCCACACATCGTTCGTGTACATGACCCGCATGAAGTCACCAAGCGCGCGTGTTCCCGATGCCTCAGAGCAATTTTCACACCATATCGTAAATGGGCTATACTGTGAAATAAGATAGCGCGCCGCAAAGGCACAAACCAAGATGCAGCATGCCGTTTTGTTTTAACATGGAAATGGCACCCAAAGCAAACACAAAACACGTGGTCACGAATTTGAAACTAGGTGCGATGATACGCAAACGCTCATCCGCCTCAAACTCATCCTTGTATTTGTCCGCGCTCAAATATTCAAGAAATTCCAACAGATTGACAGTCAAAGAGGCTTTGTTCCAGTTTCCTACTGGCTCTTCTTTCCCTCCAGGTCCGATCAACTGTTTGTCAATCCTCCTGATGTACTTCACCTTACGATTGTCCCTGCACCATGACAAATAATCATTGGTAAGCACCTGAAGACGCGCGTCCAATGACCGGCCTGGTACAAACCCATTTGCTTGAGCGATGTGTAGGCTGCAGGCAACCCAGGTCTTGCCGATGCCCATCTGCACAACATGCCATATATCAGGCCTATGAAAGCGCGCAGCACCTGATGGACCTTCATCATGCAATAGGTTGGAGGTGAACTGGTCCCCCTTGCGCGCACAAAACGGAGATGGTACCCCGTCCACACGTGCTGCTTTCATTGCTTCTTCCCCAACTCGCCTTACTCTGGTGCATGAAGGCCGGCTTTTTTTTTGGAAAAGGGGGCGATATAAATCATGAAAAAAATGCAGTGCACCGTTATAGACGGGGAACCACATTAGGTGGGCTAATTTGTATATGTGTATCGCGACAAGTTGCATATCTTCCCAAGCCAGATCATCAGTACCGGCCATGCAGATATGGCATATGCCAGCAGATTCAGAGTTTTGCTTTTCGCCCTTCGGCCCGCGTCTGTAGGACCGCTCCAAATGACCGGATGTGACCTTTTTCTGTTGTGTTGGTGTGTGTCATCAAAACTTATTTGGTAACAGACATGTTTCCCAAAGCATCGATCATTCTATTGCTACTTTGCAGTCAAGGTTCCAGGTAGCTCCAATCCCCTTTGTTGCCCACAACCACCGGGAACAGCTTGTGATTTTCATTCACATCCACACCAGTGCGTTCAGCCTCAGCCAAGTCATTGATCATCAAGTTGAAGAGCTTGTCCCAAATCTCAGGGTTGTCTTGGTACATCTCCTGTTCAGGATTTGCTATTCCCAGGGTCTTCCCAATTCGAAAAAACATCCCATGAATGGCAAGGGAAACATCATGACTCCCAAACCGGCCCCAAGGAAGTTAGGTTGGTTCCAAGGCTCACAAAAAGTCTTCAACACAAATCCCCCTAATTTCAACAGCGCGGGTCCCTGGGAGCAAGCAGGCAAAGAAGTCTTGTTTGAAGGGCGGTCTGGATGAAATTCAGCGGGATGCCGGCATCAGTCAAATTTGTCGGCACCTCATTCTCCTGGAGAACCGTTGCGTTGTTGCCTCCACGGCCAAATGGCGATTGAATACCAGCCACTAAGACACCCTGCTTCTTATATGTGACGCCCTCGTCTCCGTGAACATACACTGGCACACATTGGCCCAATTGTTCTGCAGTGAAGCGGTCGAAAACACCATGCGATGGCTGGATTGCCCGGAACCGTTTCCAGTACTCAGACAGAAGAGGCCCAGCCTGCTCTAGCGTTTGATGCCCACCCAAAATGCGATGCAAATTGTTGGTCGTGCTCAATCCAATGATGAAGTTGGATGGCGGTATCCAAGGGAAGAAGTGATCATCTCCAACAGGGTCAAAGGACATGAGGATGGGGAACCGCATGCCAAATGTGTCAAAGACACGAGCAACACCTTCTTCCTTAACTGTTTGAGCCGTGCCCTGCCATTCAAATTGAAACTGAACATCAAAAAAACTAAGTACACTGGTTTGAGTTCGAATCAAGCGGCAACCTTTTTTGTTGGCCCACTAAAGAAATACAGTTGCAAACCGACCATGACCTTTGATAGATTCATTTTCCATCTACCACTGAACTCAAAAGCCTTCAGAATTGGTGTATATAGAACAACAGGGTTTGCGCTATTTTGTCACGCCCTCTAAAAAAAGCATATCCCTATATTGAAAATTCTTAAGTCGGGACCTTTGGAACTCGGTTGAAAGCCAAGCTGCAGAGTGCTTCAAGGCCACGTTGGCGAGGGCATGTAGCACCGGGCACCGCTGCCGCTCCGCGCCACCCGCTTCTTCTTCATCACGCCGGGCAGCAAGCGCATCACGGATGATCTCAGTGCACTGTTCCTTAAACGGAGCCAACTGCACACCCTCCAGTACTGCAACATACACTACTGTAAATGCATTGTTTCAACTTGAGCAAAAAGAGTCAGAAACACGATGGATAAACTACCCGTCCGCTCAATGCTGCCATGGAGCACCACGGCTATAGCGGAAGGCGAGCCGTGTTGCCAGCCGGGAAGGGCCTGGCATCGACATCGTCAACAAACTTCATTCAAAAGCAACTCAGTCATAAATGTGTTTTGCACATGCGCATGTGCGATTTGGCTTTGCACGCAACACATTTTTTCCACTCTTGCGTTTTGATTCAAGCGGCCCTTTCTCCGGTAGCCAAGCGCTGCATGGGTACACGCAACGAGACAAACATAATGAAAGCCAGCAAATTGATTTGCTGGATGCTGGAACCAACCCCCAATCTAATTCAGACATATAGATGCGCTGGCGAAATATATGTCGATCCACCTTGGGTGCATCAGACAATGTGTGCAACCTGCCCCAAAGAAAGGCAATTATGAATCAATGAGTTTCAGCCAAGATGCCCCAAGTGCACTGCAACCTCCCATCACCAGGAGCGACCTACCTGCCGTCATTGCCGCCGGAGCTCTGGCGCCGCTTGGAAGCCTTTGCGCGCTTGGGCTTCGGTGCCTCGGCATTGTCTTGGGATCGCTTCTGCTTTGCGCCCTTTCCTTTCGCCTTGCTGCCCTTTGGCTTGCCGCCCTTTGGCTTGCCGCCTTGCTTTGGCGCCGGTTTCGGCTTGTTTTGGTTCAGCTGCTTCTTGTGATCTTTCACAAGTGTCCTGAACGCACAAATGCACCCACCTGTTTTCAACTGTTGAGGGATGAAAAAAAGACACAGCATGCACACACCCGCGCACATGCACTTTTCAAGAACCCTTCCTGTAGCTGGCTTCGACACAAATGAGCTCGGAGCACCTTAGATCAGGATGACAGCTTGCAAGAACAGCACGTGTTGCAAAAGTGGTCAGTGCACACACTTGATGACAAGGTACGGCTTCTTGACTTTGCCCTTTTCCTCATCAAGCTTCACCAGGAGCCTTGGATGACGCTCGGATTTTGACCCCGAACCAAAGCAAGAGGTGTTGATCTTTCGATTCAGAATCTAAGCGGCGACACCGTGTTTTGTAACTTTTTTCGGGGATTTAAGTATATATTTATATACTCTCCATGAAGCCGATCAACGGCTCAAAATAATGCCCCCCAAACGGATGCCCGAGGTATATACTTATAAATGTCGCCTTATAGGGATGGATGGACTGCTATCTAATCCCAATCACAAAACTGCTCGCAGAGTTTCAAAAGCCACCCCAACAGGTATACCCACTTCCAACATTTTGGCTGTAGGCCGGCATTGCTTGCAAGATGATTTGGGGGTTTTGCAAGGTTGCAAATATGAAATACAGGGTTTCATACCACCCCCAAAACGGATGCTTCTTCTTGGCGTTGAAACCTGGAGGGTAGGAAAGATTGAGCAACAATTTGAAGGACTCCAGAGGGCCCGTTCCCTGCGAGTTGGTTTTGAGGATTGCAGAAACCACCCCCCGTTGCAAACTGTTTCGGTTGTTGACGTGGCATCGTGTGAAAGATGCAGTTTGGTCGGTGGGGTTGTTTGATAGCAACGCTCAACGCACAAACCTCAAAATACAAAAGGTGTTGAGTTTCATGAGTGAAAGAAACAAGTGGAGCTTGCAGCTTCCCTGTTTGGCTGCCCAACCGCATTCCACTGAAGAGCCGAGATGATGGGACGGGCATGGGACGGGCACCCATGATGGAAGGTCGATCCAATGTGTGTGTGTGCATGTTCTTAAATTCGGGAAAGGAGCTGTTTCATTTGGTCTCCCTCCAGCTTGTTCTCAAGATCATCAAGCTTGATCTCGGCCATAAACTCGGCCATCACCTTGTAGCCAGCGTCCAACTTCCCCCCGATCGCCTCAAGGTCCGCTGTCAACCTCAGCTGACCGGCCGAGCACAAGCTCTTTGCCCTGGAGCGCCCTAGCCGAATGTGAGTGCAGGCGCTATCTTGTTTAAGGCTGAAACCTGGTGGCAACAGCATTCTCCGACATCTCTTGCAGGGTTTTGACCATGCCGGCAACTTGATTAATTTTCCCATGAAGAGCATCCATGTACTTCTCCAGGTCCGTCGCAGGCTGGCAAAGAGAATTCACATGAATAGTCGCAAGTCGATAGATGAAGTTGGCCAAAACAAGAAACTGCAAGTCGTGTTGCATCATCACGTGTGTATACACATGAAACTGGGTGCCTTGGATCCAACCACAAGGGGAGCATTCTTCTCCTTCTCTTCGGCGACCCACACAAGCGGTTTCACATTGTGCTTGGGCTCCTCAGAAGAGACCTTGTCCTCGAGAACGCACATGTGAGGCCTCTATGAAACCGATTGAAGCATGTTTGAAACTTGCGCATGCATGCATGGACTTTGCAATCACGCGGGTTCACGTGTCCTTCAGCTCAGTTTGTTCGCGCAGCTTCTCTTCTTCTTTGCACTTCTCCGTCGCCTTATCCTCAACCTCAACGAAAAATTCCATCACGTTTTCGTTGTACTTCCATGGTCTGTCCAGGCAGCAACAGCGTGCAATCCAAGATAAGTCCACGCAAGCATGCGTGCTATATAACGCACATCAACCCGTTTTCCAGCCTGACCAACGTGTTCGGAAACTTCTTGCAGTAGTTGATGATGGAGGTGACGGTTTTGGAGCTGTTGCCCTCTTTGCGAAGCTTCTCCTCCGTCATCCAGTGCCCCATCACCTCCTGCTCGCGGGACATCATCTTCTCCTTCACCAGCGTGACGCGAGTGACGAAGTCCCCCTAGGAAGCGTGTGAAATCCAACGGCGGCTAAATATTTATAACAGTCAGTGAGTGCCGCGCTTGCGTTGAGTGAGCCAAATGCATAAAGCGAGCCACGCGCACTTTCTTGTACATGGTTCGGTCGGTCCCGTGCTTGGCGAGGCTGCGAAGAAGAGACATCTCAAGAATTTCTCGCTTCTCGCCCCCCTCGAGGTAATCTTCTATGATCCCATCATCAACGGACTTGCGCCCTGACTTTTTCTTCTGACACAATCTTCGCAGCCGCATCCGCAACGCGTCGTGCGTGACTGGGACCTAAGATGGCGCACGCTTGAGTCAACCAATTCAGTTGGCCTACCAGCAAACAACCCAACACGCCGCCAAGGCCGGAGACGAGTGAGAGACAACAAAGGCCGGGATGCAGGCTTTTTGTGGAATTTGAGTCTTCCTAGATAATGGATTTCAATGGACTGATGCAAAACGAAGGGTTCCAACACTGTTCATGTGTTTTGCAGGAGTCATCGACGGGGTGGGTATTTTTGCTACTATATAGAGAACATCGACACAGGTTTGAAATGGAAACAGGTGATGCCCTGACATGGGACACACTTGCACATTGATCTCATGGACTGTTTCCACTGTTTTGAAGCGAGCGAAAGGCAACAAATCCCAACAAAGAGTCGAAAGGTTGCTGAAGCGGTCCAAATTGGCCCCAATCATGTTTCTGCATGGACGTTGCCAAAAAAAGTATTGCTGTTTACATATGACCTCAACTCCCACACACCCTACAAAGACTTTGGTTGAAACGTGTTGAAATCTTTGGGGTACCCAAGAGTCACTGAGGTTGACAACCATGTGCGTGTACAAACCGGGGTGACCCTGAAAGCTGCCATGTTGCTGTGGAAGGGGTATGCCCTATTCACAACAAGGGTTATACCAAAATAGAGATTGCTCAATCAAACAAATCCCCTGGGCGGCCCTTTCTTTCCTGCTCCACCAAACCATTTTTTTAGCTGCTGAGCTATCCATCGTTTGGATCATTGAGATTCATTGGATCCTTTCTTGAAACACGGTACCCATTGTTTTGCAAGGAAGGCACCGTTTGGCCATCAGAGGTGGTCAGAAACGGCTCCTCACGTTGATCACTCTCCGAGTCCCCCATCTCCTCGTCGCTGCCACCCTTTTGCGAGGAGGCCTGATCGAAGTCCGGGTTGCGAGTGGAGGCGGCGCTGGGCGGCTTCGTGGTTGGTGTTGTCAACGGAGTCTTGTCATCAAGTTTTATAACCTCCGCAGTGAATTTCTGTTCCAGATGAGCGATGCGGGCGAGGGCAGCCTTCAGCAGTTCAGACTCGTTCACGGATGTGCAGTCCTTAAAAATCCACACCGCAAAGTCCAATCCATATTGTGCAATGATCACATGCACCCCGGCATAATGCTGCTCTGTGTCAGCAGGGCTAGGTGGGGGTCTGGTCTGTTGCGGCGTTACCATCATGGCTTGGTCCTTTTGCGGTTCGCGATGTGGAGTTGCGGTCGGTGAAGCTGCCGCCCCCATATCCTGAGCAGGTCATGGAGCAATTGACAGTGTTTATAATCAACAAGAAAAACCTTGAAGAGCAAACCCACGCGTTCAACAACCGCAGTATCCCATACATGGCTCAGGCCAAGAATCTCCCGGCACAGTGGTGGCTTGAGAGTTCTGATCTGGCTGTGTTGCATGGCTCATCTGGTCCCTCACCTGCTGGGATTCCACCTTGGATATGTTAGATCTCAAAGCGGGGTCGGGCTGGGCTTGCCGGTTCAGATCGAGGCACTATATTGCATGCAAGAAACATCTGCTTTGGCAGGTGACTCTGGCAGCTCCTTCTTCACTTGTCGGAGCAGCGCTGGCACCTCAGACAGCTTAAAGTACATCTGATGAGATAACATGTCAATCAAAGTGATTGCATCAGATAGCACAGAGCGCCTCTTTGACACCATTTGCCTTCAGTATCTTGAGGGCAGCCGCGGCGTCCTGCCAGATACAAGCATGCCTCAAAACAAACAAGATCGATCAATTTAATTTGCATTCCCATGTTTGATCCTGCAAGGTCTTCACGATGGATTCTGGGGTCATGCCATGCTTTTGAAGATCCAGCCCAGCGATTTGCGCGCACGCTGAGGCGCCCAGGTCCAAGGTCTTGCAGCTCCAGGCCCGGCTCGGCAGGCTCTCGGTTTGCTCATGAGCAGGCGAAGCTTGCCTCGACATGTCGCCCACCCTAAAACTCCAAAATGCCAAATTAAAAGCCAAAAAGCTCATGGGATGCTGCATGTTCAATGCTCTCACGCATGCTGCCGTGCACCTTTCGATCAGAACCAATCTGCATATATGCTTTTTCACGAATATTTCTGATCTGCAAGTCCGATATTTGACCCGATGCATGCACTGTGTGCACTCACATTAGTGAATCGAGTGCGTTTTCCAGGGGCGACCGCTCAACATTCATGGATCACCTTCAGATTCAAACAAAATATGAGTTCATGGGTCCGAAAACCAGAAAATATTACGATATTCCGAAAAAACACACCTCGCCCCCCAAAAAAGATGGTGGGGCCCCAGTCAATTACGTAATTTTGGTGTAATTTTTACACCTCTCCGAACGGGTTTGAACGGGTTTGAACGGTTTCCGAACGGGTTCTGAACGGGTTTCGAACGCTTTCACACTCGTTTTGCGTAAAAATTACGTAATCTGGCTTAGCCACCTGAGCACTCACAATGGAGTACAATTCTCGAATTTCAGGCCAAATTGGGCAAAAATGCTGACCAGGGCACTTTTCGGGCTGATTTCCTTGATCACTTGCGAATGTCAAGCATTTCGGAGCTGTTTTTTTGGTTTCTGTGAAATGTTAACTCGGGATAGGGTTCCAATCCTTTGCCACTCTGTGCGTGCTGGTCAGCATTGGCAAGAATTCACCCCCATCTACACACGGGCAAAGTTTTGGGGAAAGCAGCTCTCCAGATGGCTGGGGCTTCCAATCTTCTGTTGCCCCTCAAGTATCGAATTGTGGGACCTAGATTTGCTTCCTGCCAATCACTCCAGGGAAGCCGTTCAAATTCTGCGATTGCATCGTGCGCGTCCAGGTGGGTGACCTCAAAGTTGGTCATGGCTCCGGTGGTCAGCTCGGGCATCAGGCCGGCGATCGCTTTGCCAAAGGATGGCGTATACTCCCTTAGCAAACAAACCAACACAATGCATCATAACACAGGCAAACATGAATGGACAAGGAGTGCATTTTGTGAAATGGCAATAACTGAGGCAACTGCTGCGTGCCTTTGAGTTGTTTGGTTCCAACATATCCACGGCGTCCTTCTTTCGAAATAGTCTTGCGAACAGCACCGCTCCAGCCATGTTGTTGCCGGAATCGTTTCATATTGAGCGTGCCCATGTCCAGGCGAGCGCAGGCTGCATTGTTAGTCCATGCCTTATGCCGCTTTGGCGTTTTTGACTTGTAGTGGCCCATCCACCATCTCACCTCAAGTACCTGCAGGAGCATCGGAACATGTGCGCACATATGCAAACCACCTGCATGCATATCACACACACGTGACTTGTATTTGCAAGTTGGGGTCAATGAACCTGCCACCGGGATGCAGTGCAACGCCGTGCAAACCAAACAAAACGTCCATACAAATTCATAGTTGAGCTCACCGGTTGCTCAAGAAAATATGAGCCACCACAGCATACAACCAAGGCCAGCAATAGCACACACCTTAGATGACAGGACTTGAGCTGACAACATGGTCAGTGCTTTTCAAAGTGTTCCTGCGTGCCAGATTGCAGACAAGCTTCCGCGAGACCATCTGGTTTGCTTCTTTGATGTAAGCCTTGCCAACATCTCCTTCTGGAAGTAGGTGTGAACGCTTCGATGTGAAAGCATTCATTTGTACCCAACTGCTACATACCGTAGCAAATACTGCAAAGAACTTGCTCTCGGAGCAATTCAGTATCAGCCACACAGCGATCCTTATAGCACCCAGCCCCGCCCACTGAACAAGAAACAAAATGAGGAAAATGGTTTGCATATATAACGATCTCACTCCAAGGTGCGCCATGCCAGAGTGCGAGTTGATATCCATCGGATTTGAAGTAGCCCATGGGTCACTGCTGCTGACGTCACGCAGGTAGTTGATATCGCACTTGGCACTTGGCCATTTGCAGGCCTTCACCGCTGCGAACACGTTGCCAGTGCCCGCGAAGAATTCCACATAGGACAGCGGCTGGCAGGGTCGGGGAACATGCAGCACACAAGTGATATATGACGTGAGGGTCCATGCATGACAGAGAGCATGATGAAATTCATCACGCGCCTTCTCAAAAGGGGGCAGGTTTGTGGTGAAGTAGGTCAGCACCACCAAGTGAATAAACGCCTTGCACCCGTGAGCAAATGCAACGATACGCTCTTGCACTCAGTGAAGATAGCAAGCATGTACATTCATCCCTTCTAATATCTTCTAATGCTGACTAGAGTCTTTTGGAGCTCCAAACCTGATCAACTTCCGCACCAGTACGCCAATATCGATCATGGCGCGGCCAAGGCCCTTGCCCCGTGTCTTTGCCAAGCTGTCCAACGCGTCTTGTCCAAAGTGTCTTGTCCATGTCATGCCTGCACGCCTGCGCTCTGTCATGTTTATATCACGCATGTCCAAACTCAAAACGGCATTGAACCACGGATGTCAATGTAGTGACAAACTGCGCTCATGCCATCTTGTCAAGCTGTTCTGTGTCAGTTTTTTCTTTTATATGACATCATCATTTGCATGAATAGTTCAAACCCTATAACATGTAAGTTTGTCTTGTTGGGGGAAGGCTTGATGCCTGAGTCTGAGTGGTGTTTCAAGGTGTCAGGATGTCAGGGTGACGGGTTGGCCACAAAGCAAATCTGAAGTTGTGTTGATAGGTGCAACCTATTCACAAGGGCATGGTATAGGAGAGATGTACACGCAGTTGTCTGCTGGGTGATGCTGTCAAACCACTGTTGTTGTTTTTTTGAATGGTTACCTATACACTGACATGACCCCTCATTGCCTTTTGAACAGCCTATACAACTGACACTTTCAATAGCACCATCCAGAAGCAAACCTCCAATCCCATCGTTCCAAGACTCTTTTCGAAAGGGGAACATGTTCAATGTGTGTTTGGGTTGGCCAATCTGAAGCAATTTGATTGTTGAATGATCAGTTCAACAAAATAGGTTGAGTCTACACCGCAACACTGCGATTGAAAAGACTTGCCAGGAGCACCATCGGCGAA